CCAGGGGGAGCTAAACTGACGCACACAGCTGGAGACCAGGGGACACTAAAGACTGACGCACACAGCTGTTAGACCAGGGGACACTAAAGAGTGACGCACACAGCTGGGAGACCAGGGGATGCTAAAGAGTGACGCGCACAGCTGGGAGATCAGGGGACACTAAAGAGTGACGCACACAGCTGGAGACCAGGGGACACTAAAGACTGACGCACACAGCTGTTAGACCAGGGGACGCTAAAGAGTGACGCACACAGCTGGGAGACCAGGGGACGCTAAAGAGTGACGCACACAGCTGGGAGACCAGGGGACACTAAAGAGTGACGCACACAGCTGGAGACCAGGGGACACTAAAGACTGACGCACACAGCTGGGAGACCAGGGGACACTAAAGAGTGACGCACACAGCTGGGAGACCAGGGGACTCTAAAGAGTGACGCACACAGCTGGGAGACCAGGGGACACTAAAGACTGACGCACACAGCTGGAGACCAGGGGACACTAAAGAGTGACGCACACAGCTGGAGACCAGAGACACTAAAGAGTGACGCACACAGCTGGGAGACCAGGGGACACTAAAGAGTGACGCACAACAGCTGGGAGACAAAGGGACACTAAAGAGTGACGCACACAGCTGGGAGACAAAGGGACACTAAAGAGTGACGCACACAGCTGGGAGACCAGGGGACACTAAAGAGTGACGCACACAGCTGGGAGACAAAGGGACACTAAAGAGTGACGCACACAGCTGGGAGACCAGGGGGACACTAAAGAGTGACGCACACAGCTGGGAGACAAAGGGACACTAAAGAGTGATGCACACAGCTGGGAGACAAAGGGACACTAAAGAGTGACGCACACAGCTGGGAGACAAAGGGACACTAAAGAGTGACGCACACAGCTGGGAGACCAGGGGACACTAAAGAGTGACGCACACAGCTGGGAGACCAGGGGACACTAAAGACTGACGCACACAGCTGGAGACCAGGGGACACTAAAGAGTGACGCACACAGCTGGAGACCAGGAGACACTAAAGAGTGACGCACACAGCTGGGAGACCAGGGGACACTAAAGAGTGACGCACACAGCTGGGAGACAAAGGGACACTAAAGAGTGACGCACACAGCTGGGAGACAAAGGGACACTAAAGAGTGACGCACACAGCTGGGAGACCAGGGGACACTAAAGAGTGACGCACACAGCTGGGAGACAAAGGGACACTAAAGAGTGACGCACACAGCTGGGAGACCAGGGGACACTAAAGAGTGACGCACACAGCTGGGAGACAAAGGGACACTAAAGAGTGACGCACACAGCTGGGAGACAAAGGGGACACTAAAGAGTGACGCACACAGCTGGGAGACAAAGGGACACTAAAGAGTGACGCACACAGCTGGGAGACCAGGGGACACTAAAGAGTGACGCACACAGCTGGGAGACAAAGGGACACTAAAGAGTGACGCACACAGCTGGGAGACCAGGGGACACTAAAGAGTGACGCACACAGCTGGGAGACAAAGGGACACTAAAGAGTGATGCACACAGCTGGGAGACAAAGGGACACTAAAGAGTGACGCACACAGCTGGGAGACAAAGGGACACTAAAGAGTGACGCACACAGCTGGGAGACAAGGGACACTAAAGAGTGACGCACACAGCTGGGAGACAAAGGGACACTAAAGAGTGACGCACACAGCTGGGAGACAAAGGGACACTAAAGAGTGACGCACACAGCTGGAGACCAGGGCTGTGGTCGGATAACCCAAAAATCAGCTCCTAACGTCTATCCCTGTCTCCTCCTCTCCTCTGAGTGAAAGGTCACGGGGTTAAGGGATAGTGGATAGGAGAATCCAAAAGGACTTAGGAGAAGAGACTGCGTTACTTTAGAGAATCGACTGCACTTTCACTATCCCCACGTGTTTCTGATGCTCCAGCGGACGTCCTGAATGAGCGTCTGCTGCTGTGGGGAAACTATGGAGACTACAGTTCTCTATACAGCGGACTACAACATGGATGTTCAATAAGAACGAGGGACTCCTGTGAACTCATCTAGAGACTCTGTGCTCTGACGCTGTTGCTTTATGCTTTATGAACGTGGACAACAGAGACACAGATTCTTCAGGACCAAAGCTGGAATTGAAATAAAAAGGAAAGTGAAGCTTCTGCTCGTCCCCCTCTCCCTCCGGTCCTCTTTAATACAAATGATCCCAATACGTATGATTGATGAAAAGATCTTAAATCAATACAGATGTATTTATTAAACACAGTGATAGATGTTAAGGACTAACGTTTATAATAAATACATCTGTATTGATTTAAGATCTTTTCATCAATCATACGTATTGGGATCATTTGTATTAATGAGGACCGGAGGGAGAGGGTGACGAGCAGAAGCTTCACTTTCCTTTTTATTTAAATTCCAGCTTTGGTCCTGAAGAATCTGTTTCTCTGTTGTCCCTGTTCATAAAGCATAACGCCTGCCTCGTCTTCCCTTGTCTCAGAAATGCTGGAGGAGTCTCCGTCTCACCTGGAGTCTGAGGACATCGAGGACCTGTTCTCTCTGGCGCAGTACTACCAGAGTAAGACTCCTCTGTCTCTGAGGAAGGTGAGGCTCTTCGTCCACAGACAGGGAGGACCCTTCGTTCCTGAGCTGTTTGTTTCTTTACTTTATATACCATCATATTACAGTATATTATGAGCCTATATTCCTATCATTCTTTCTGACCTTTCTAAAGAACATTTTAACCATCATTACACCATTGTATATTGTTTATACTATTTTTTCCATTTTGTTTGTAATAGTGAACTCTTTTCCACGTGTAAGTATCTGTAATGTAGAGCACTCTGGTCCTGTAACCAAAGCATGTCCCAATGTGGTATTACTAACGGATCTGTCTCTGTCTGCCAGATGAACCAGAACCTGTTTGGCAGCTCTCTGGTGGCTCTGAAGGAGGAGGACACTGACCTGAGTCAAGCTCTGTGTCTCCCTGTGTCTGTCCCTGAGATCCTGCAGGCCAACCAGCTGCAGCAGGTCAGCCCCCCACCCACATGCTTTAGAGCTCAGCACAGCAGCAGGTCAGCCCCCCACCCACATGCTTTAGAGCTCAGCACAGCAGCAGGTCAGCCCCCCACCCACATGCTTTAGAGCTCAGCACTGCAGCAGGTCAGCCCCCCACCCCACATGCTTTAGAGCTCACGCACAGCAGGCAGGTCAGCCCCCACCCACATGCCTTAGAGTCTCAGCACAGCAAGCAGGTCAGTCCCCCCACCCACATGCTTTGCGAGCTCAGGCACTGCAGCAGGTCAGCCCCCCCCCACATGCTTTTAGACCCTCATCACATGCAGCAGGTCAGCCCCCCCCCACATGCTTAATACCTCATCACTGCAGCAGGGTCAGCCCCCCCCCACATGCTTAGACCTCATCATCTGCAGCAGGTCAGCCCCCCCCACATGCTTCAGACCTCATCCACTGCAGCAGGTCAGCCCCCCCCCCACCCACATGCTTAGGACCTCATCACTGCAGCAGGTCAGCCCCCCCCACATGCTTTAGACCTCATCACTGCAGCAGGTCAGCCCCCCCCACATGCTTTAGAGCTCATCACTGCAGCAGGTCAGCCCCCCCCACATGCTGTAGACCTCATCACTGCAGCAGGTCAGCCCCCCCCACATGCTGTAGAGCTCATCACTGCAGCAGGTCAGCCCCCCCCCCCCACATGCTGTAGACCTCATCACTGCAGCAGGTCAGCCCCCCCCCCCACAATGCTTTAGAGCTCATCACTGCCAGCAGGTCAGCCCCCCCCCCCACATGCTTTAGACCTCATCACTGCAGCAGGTCAGCCCCCCCCACCTGCTTTAGACCTCATCACTGCAGCAGGTCAGCCCCCCCCCACATGCTTTAGAGCTCATCACTGCAGCAGGTCAGCCCCCCCCCCCCACATGCTTTAGAGCTCATCACTGCAGCAGGGTCAGCCCCCCCCCCCACATGCTTAGACCTCATCACTGCAGCAAGGTCAGCCCCCCCCCACATGCTGTAGACCTCATCACTGCAGCAGGTCAGCCCCCCCCCCACATGCTGTAGACCTCATCACTGCAGCAGGTCAGCCCCCCCCCCACATGCTTTAGAGCTCATCACTGCAGCAGGTCAGCCCCCCCCACATGCTTTAGACCTCATCACTGCAGCAGGTCAGCCCCCCCCCCCACATACTTAGACCTCATCACTGCAGCAGGTCAGCCCCCCCCCACATGCTTTAGACCTCATCACTGCAGCAGGTCAGCCCCCCCCCACATGCTTTAGACCTCATCACTGCAGCATGGTCAGCCCCCCCCCACATGCTTTATGTTTACCACATGCTTTAGACCTCATCAACTGCAGCAGGTCAGCCCCCCCCACATGCTGTAGAGCTCATCACTGCAGCAGGTCAGCCCCCCCCCCCACATGCTGTAGACCTCATCACTGCAGCAGGTCAGCCCCCCCCCCCACATGCTTTAGACCTCATCACTGCAGCAGGTCAGCCCCCCCCCACATGCTTTAGACCTCATCACTGCAGCAGGTCAGCCCCCCCCCACATGCTGTAGACCTCATCACTGCAGCAGGTCAGCCCCCCCCACATGCTTTAGACCTCATCACTCTGCAGCAGGTCAGCCCCCCCACATCGCTTTAGACCTCATCACTGCAGCAGGTCAGCCCCCCCCCACATGCTTTAGACCTCAGCACTGCAGCAGGTCAGCCCCCCCCCCACATGCTTTAGAGCTCCTCCCTGCAGCAGGTCCAGCCCCCCCCCACATGCTTTAGAGCTCATCACTGCAGCAGGTCAGCCCCCCCCCACATGCTTTAGACCTCATCACTGCAGCAGGTCAGCCCCCCCCACATGCTTTAGACCTCATCACTGCAGCAGGTCAGCCCCCCCCCACATGCTTTAGACCTCATCACTGCAGCAGGTCAGCCCCCCCCCACATGCTTTAGAGCTCATCACTGCAGCAGGTCAGCCCCCCCCACATGCTGTAGACCTCATCACTGCAGCAGGTCAGCCCCCCCCACATGCTGTAGAGCTCATCACTGCAGCAGGTCAGCCCCCCCCCCCACATGCTGTAGACCTCATCACTGCAGCAGGTCAGCCCCCCCCCACATGCTTTAGAGCTCATCACTGCAGCAGGTCAGCCCCCCCCCACATGCTTTAGACCTCATCACTGCAGCAGGTCAGCCCCCCCCCACATGCTTAGACCCTCATCACTGCAGCAGGTCAGCCCCCCCCCACATGCTTTAGAGCTCAGCACTGCAGCAGGTCAGGCCCCCCCCCCACATGCTTTAGAGCTCATCACTGCAGCAGGTCAGCCACCCCCCCCCCACATGCTTTAGACCTCATCACTGCAGCAGGTCAGCCCCCCCCACATGCTGTAGACCTCATCACTGCAGCAGGTCAGCCCCCCCCACATGCTGTAGAGCTCATCACTGCAGCAGGTCAGCCCCCCCCCCCACATGCTGTAGACCTCATCACTGCAGCAGGTCAGCCCCCCCCCCACATGCTTTAGAGCTCATCACTGCAGCAGGTCAGCCCCCCCCACATGCTTTAGACCTCATCACTGCAGCAGGTCAGCCCCCCCCCCCCCACATGCTTTAGACCTCATCACTGCAGCAGGTCAGCCCCCCCCCACATGCTTTAGACCTCATCACTGCAGCAGGTCAGCCCCCCCCACATGCTTTAGACCTCATCACTGCAGCAGGTCAGCCCCCCCCCCCCACATGCTTTAGACCTCATCACTGCAGCAGGTCAGCCCCCCCCACATGCTTTAGACCTCATCACTGCAGCAGGTCAGCCCCCCCCACATGCTTTAGACCTCATCACTGCAGCAGGTCAGCCCCCCCCACATGCTTTAGAGCTCATCACTGCAGCAGGTCAGCCCCCCCCCCACATGCTTTAGAGCTCAGCAGCAGGTCAGCCCCCCCCCCACATGCTGCAGCGGTTCTATCCACTCACTTAAGAATCTAAAAACGTGTTCCAGCTTCAACCGTAAACACTACGAGGCGAAAGCTGTCAGAGTAATTAGAAGAGGACCTGGGCCTCGTTGATAAAGGGATATACGCTCAAAAGATGGCGTACGCCAGTTTCTACGCAATGCTTGCGATTTATAAAATACTAACTTGAGGGGAAAACGTGCGGTCCTCCACGCAAACTCTAACCCGTGCGTACGCACTGAGCACAGAGACGGGAGAGACGAGAAAGTGCGACCGCGTTGGCAGAAGAAAGGATGGAGAGAAATGTGTGGAAATAATAGCATCACCTGGAGGAATACATACAGATATGTTATTGAAAACCACCTGGAATATGTTGTGTTCATGTTATGAATGTTGTCTCATGAATGATGCGGTGAGCAGGAGGACAGAGTTACGTCTGAACTGACGCGTGTTGCTTTTCTATAGGTTGTAGATACGAGCATGGTTTTATATACTCTCACGTTTAATCGTGTTTTATGCCGTTTGCCAAGACTTGATAAGTGGCTCGTAAAACACAGGAGGTCTGGAAGCTAAGAACACCATGTGGTCAATTATACAGCTGATATAACACATTAGTTGTGTTTCCTTTAACTGGTGGATATAGAGTTACTGCGGGGGGGGGGGGGTTGAGGGGGGGGGGGGTTGAGACGCACAGGCTGCAGTGGAGACGCTGCGCACAGCTGATCGACAGCTGGGACACAAACCACCAAATACAGAAACATAATTCAGATCCAGTCGTCATGACTCCACTCCGGAGGGATTCCCCGATCACTTCTTAGTCTCTCATCAGGGGGGGGTCTCCTGTCCCCGGTGCAAACACACTGCCTGAGGAAGGCTGTGTGTATTCTTTTTGTCATTAACCTTTTTCGGACCACTTATTTATTTATGTTGGTGACGATCCGACCTCCATGCTGCTCCTCTGGTTCAAACTGCATCCACCAAACAATATGATTTATCTCCACCTCCCACAATAACCAGAATCTGACACGGTGTGAGACGTCTGTTTTAGCTGCTCTGTCCTCATTTCCTGCGGTCAGTCAGTCAGTCAGTCAGTCAGTCAGTCAGTCAGTCAGTCAGTCAGTCAGTCAGTCAGTCAGTCAGTCAGTCAGTCAGTCAGAATGAATGAATGAATGAATGAATGGGCGTTTCTTTGACTATTTATAGGGAAATATGGGCGTTACGTGAAGCCCGCAAAAGCTGCACCGCATTTCGAGTCGATTGTGATTTATACCTCTGCGCGGTCAGCCCTCTGCGCGGTCAGCCCTCTGCGGGGTCGGCCCTCTGCGGGGTCAGCCCTCTGCGCGGTCGGCCCTCTGCGGGGTCAGCCCTCTGCGGGGTCGGCCCTCTGCGCGGTCAGCCCTCTGCGCGGTCAGCCCTCTGCGGGGTCAGCCCTCTGCGCGGTCAGCCCTCTGCGCGGTCAGCCCTCTGCGGGGTCAGCCCTCTGCGCGGTCAGCCCTCTGCGCGGTCAGCCCTCTGCGGGGTCAGCCCTCTGCGCGGTCAGCCCTCTGCGCGGTCAGCCCTCTGCGCGGTCAGCCCTCTGCGGGGTCAGCCCTCTGCGCGGTCAGCCCTCTGCGCGGTCAGCCCTCTGTCGGCCCTCTGCGCGGTCGGCCCTCTGCGGGGTCGGCCCTCTGCGGGGTCAGCCCTCTGCGCGGTCAGCCCTCTGCGGGGTCAGCCCTCTGCGGGGTCGGCCCTCTGCGGGGTCAGCCCTCTGCGCGGTCAGCCCTCTGCGCGGTCAGCCCTCTGCGCGGTCAGCCCTCTGCGCGGTCAGCCCTCTGCGCGGTCAGCCCTCTGCGCGGTCAGCCCTCTGCGCGGTCAGCCCTCTGCGGGGTCAGCCCTCTGCGCGGTCAGCCCTCTGCGCGGTCAGCCCTCTGCGCGGTCAGCCCTCTGCGCGGTCAGCCCTCTGCGCGGTCAGACCTACATCCAGCGAGCCTTTGAAGCCACATATTGCAGCTTTGAGGAGGGCGATGCACATCAACACTGAAAACAACGCTTACAGCTCATGTGCACGGAGATTGATGTTGTATTGGTGTGGCTGTAACACTCGTTAGTTTGCAGAAGGAGAAGATGTCATGTGATTTATTTGTGTTTCAGGACGGGGTGCGTTTCTTCGTGGTGGATTGTCGGCCTGCAGAGCAGTACAACGCGGGACATCTATCCACCGCCTTCCACCTGGACTCTGACCTGGTGAGCACCTGCATCTCATCCTCAGTTAATGTTCAACATCCAGCCAGCTGACCAATCAGAGCACACTGGGCTCTGGTTTCAGACAGAGGGGGAAAAGAGGAGCTGCAGCACAGGCAGACTCTTTAAAGTAGAGACACTACATACTGATATACACCTGAACATCAGCAGGAGAGCACTCTTTAAAGTAGAGACACTACATACTGATATACACCTGAACATCAGCAGGAGAGGACTCTTTAAAGTAGAGACACTACATACTGATATACACCTGAACATCAGCAGGAGAGGACTCTTTAAAGTAGAGACACTACATACTGATATACACCTGAACATCAGCAGGAGAGGACTCTTTAAAGTAGAGACACTACATACTGATATACACCTGAACATCAGCAGGAGAGGACTCTTTAAAGTAGAGACACTACATACTGATATACACCTGAACATCAGCAGGAGAGGACTCTTTAAAGTAGAGACACTACATACTGATATACACCTGAACATCAGCAGGAGAGGACTCTTTAAAGTAGAGACACTACATACTATATACACCTGAACATCAGCAGGAGAGGACTCTTTAAAGTAGAGACACTACATACTGATATACACCTGAACATCAGCAGGAGAGGACTCTTTAAAGTAGAGACACTACATACTGATATACACCTGAACATCAGCAGGAGGAGGACTCTTTAAAGTAGAGACACTACATACTGATATACACCTGAACATCAGCAGGAGAGGACTCTTTAAAGTAGAGACACTACATACTGATATACACCTGAACATCAGCAGGAGAGGACTCTTTAAAGTAGAGACACTACATACTGATATACAACCGGAACATCAGCAGGAGAGGAACTCTTTAAAGTAGAGACACTACATACTGATATACACCTGAACATCAGCAGGAGAGGACTCTTTAAAGTAGAGACACTACATACTGATATACACCTGAACATCAGCAGGAGAGGACTCTTTAAAGTAGAGACACTACATACTGATATACACCTGAACATCAGCAGGAGAGGGACTCTTTAAAGTAGAGACACTACATACTGATATACACCTGAACATCAGCAGGAGAGAACTCTTTAAAGTAGAGACACTACATACTGATATACACCTGAACATCAGCAGGAGAGAACTCTTTAAAGTAGAGACACTACATACTGATATACACCTGAACATCAGCAGGAGAGGACTCTTTAAAGTAGAGACACTACATACTGATATACACCTGAACATCAGCAGGAGAGGACTCTTTAAAGTAGAGACACTACATACTGATATACACCTGAACATCAGCAGGAGAGGACTCTTTAAAGTAGAGACACTACATACTGATATACACCTAAACATCAGCAGGAGAGAACTCTTTAAAGTAGAGACACTACATACTGATATACACCTGAACATCAGCAGGAGAGGACTCTTTAAAGTAGAGACACTACATACTGATATACACCTGCACATCAGCAGGAGAGGACTCTTTAAAGTAGAGACACCACATACTGATATACACCTGAGCATCAGCAGGAGAGGACTCTTTAAAGTAGAGACACTACATACTGATATACACTTGAGCATCAGCAGGAGAGGACTCTTTAAAGTAGAGACACTACATACTGATATACACCTGAGCATCAGCAGGAGAGCACTCTTTAAAGTAGAGACACTACATACTGATATACACCTGAACATCAGCAGGAGAGGACTCTTTAAAGTAGAGACACTACATACTGATATACACCTGAACATCAGCAGGAGAAGACTCTTTAAAGTAGAGACACTACATACTGATATACACCTGAACATCAGCAGGAGAGGACTCTTTAAAGTAGAGACACTACATACTGATATACACCTGAACATCAGCAGGAGAGGACTCTTTAAAGTAGAGACACTACATACTGATATACACCTGAACATCAGCAGGAGAGGACTCTTAAAGTAGAGACACTACATACTGATATACACCTGAATATCAGCAGGAGAGGACTCTTTAAAGTAGAGACACTACATACTGATATACACCTGAACATCAGCAGGAGAGGACTCTTTAAAGTAGAGACACTACATACTGATATACACCTGAACATCAGCAGGAGAGGACTCTTTAAAGTAGAGACACTACATACTGATATACACCTGAACATCAGCAGGAGAGGACTCTTTAAAGTAGATACACTACATACTGATATACACCTGAACATCAGCAGGAGAGGACTCTTTAAAGTAGAGACACTACATACTGATATACACCTGAACATCAGCAGGAGAGGACTCTTTAAAGTAGAGACACTACATACTGATATACACCTGAACATCAGCAGGAGAGGACTCTTTAAAGTAGAGACACTACATACTGATATACACCTGAACATCAGCAGGAGAGGACTCTTTAAAGTAGAGACACTACATACTGATATACACCTGAACATCAGCAGGAGAGGACTCTTTAAAGTAGAGACACTACATACTGATATACACCTGAACATCAGCAGGAGAGGACTCTTTAAAGTAGAGGACACTACATACTGATATACACCTGAACATCAGCAGAGGAGAACTCTTTAAAGTAGAGACACTACATACTGATATACACCTGAACATCAGCAGGAGAGGACTCTTTAAAGTAGACACACTACATACTGATATACACCTGAACATCAGCAGGAGAGGACTCTTTAAAGTAGAGACACTACATACTGATATACACCTGAACATCAGCAGGAGAGGACTCTTTAAAGTAGAGACACTACATACTGATATACTCCTGAACATCAGCAGGAGAGGACTCTTTAAAGTAGATACACTACATACTGATATACACCCCTGAACATCAGCAGGAGAGGACTCTTTAAAGTAGAGACACTACATACTGATATACACCTGAACATCAGCAGGAGAGGACTCTTTAAAGTAGAGACGCTACATACTGATATACACCTGAACATCAGCAGGAGAGGACTCTTTAAAGTAGAGACGCTACATACTGATATACACCTGAACATCAGCAGGAGAGGACTCTTTAAAGCAGAGACAGCTACATACTGATATACACCTGAACATCAGCAGGAGAGGACTCTTTAAAGTAGAGACGCTACATACTGATATACACCTGAAACATCAGCAGGAGAGGACTCTTTAAAGTAGAGACACTACATACTGATATACACCTGAACATCAGCAGGAGAGGACTCTTTAAAGTAGAGACACTACATACTGATATACACCTGAATATCAGCAGGAGAGGACTCTTTAAAGTAGAGACACTACATACTGATATACACCTGAACATCAGCAGGAGAGGACTCTTTAAAGTAGAGACACTACATACTGATATACACCTGAACATCAGCAGGAGAGGACTCTTTAAAGTAGAGACACTACATACTGATATACACCTGAACATCAGCAGGAGAGGACTCTTTAAAGTAGAGACACTACATACTGATATACACCTGAACATCAGCAGGAGAGGACTCTTTAAAGTAGAGACACTACATACTGATATACACCTGAACATCAGCAGGAGAAGGACTCTTTAAAGTAGAGACACTACATGCTGATATACACCTGAACATCAGCAGGAGAGGACTCTTTAAAGTAGAGACACTACATACTGATATACACCTGAACATCAGCAGGAGAGGACTCTTTAAAGTAGAGACACTACATACTGATATACACCTGAACATCAGCAGGAGAGGACTCTTTAAAGTAGAGACACTACATACTGATATACACCTGAACATCAGCAGGAGAGAACTCTTTAAAGTAGAGACACTACATACTGATATACACCTGAATATCAGCAGGAGAGGACTCTTTAAAGTAGAGACACTACATACTGATATACACCTGAATATCAGCAGGAGAGGACTCTTTAAAGTAGAGACACTACATACTGATATACACCTGAACATCAGCAGGAGAGGACTCTTTAAAGTAGAGACACTACATACTGATATACACCTGAACATCAGCAGGAGAGGACTCTTTAAAGTAGAGACACTACATACTGATATACACCTGAACATCAGCAGGAGAGGACTCTTTAAAGTAGAGATACTACATACTGATATACACCTGAACATCAGCAGGAGAGGACTCTTTAAGTAGAGACACTACATACTGATATACACCTGACATCAGCAGGAGAGGACTCTTTAAAGTAGAGACACTACATACTGATATACACCTGAACATCAGCAGGAGAAGACTCTTTAAAGTAGAGACACTACATGCTGATATACACTTGAACATCAGCAGGAGAGGACTCTTTAAAGTAGAGACACTACATACTGATATACACCTGAACATCAGCAGGAGAGGACTCTTTAAAGTAGAGACACTACATACTGATATACACCTGAACATCAGCAGGAGAGGACTCTTTAAAGTAGAAGAGACACTACATACTGATATACACCTGAGCATCAGCAGGAGAGGACTCTTTAAAGTAGAGACACTACATACTGATATACACCTGAACATCAGCAGGAGAGGACTCTTTAAAGTAGAGACACTACATACTGATATACACCTGAACATCAGCAGGAGAGGACTCTTTAAAGTAGAGGACACTACATACTGATATACACCTGAATATCAGCAGGAGAGGACTCTTTAAAGTAGAGACACTACATACTGATATACACCTGAACATCAGCAGGAGAGGACTCTTTAAAGTAGAGACACTACATACTGATATACACCTGAACATCAGCAGGAGAGGACTCTTTAAAGTAGAGACACTACATACTGATATACACCTGAACATCAGCAGGAGAGGACTCTTTAAAGTAGAGACACTACATACTGATATACACCTGAACATCAGCAGGAGAGGACTCTTTAAGTAGAGACGCTACATACTGATATACACCTGAACATCAGCAGGAGAGGACTCTTTAAAGTAGAGGACACTACACACTGATATATACACCTGAACATCAGCAGGAGAGGACTCTTTTAAAGTAGAGACACTACATACTGAGATACCCCTGAACATCAGCAGGAGAGGACTCTTTAAAGTAGAGACACTACATACTGATATACACCTGAACATCAGCAGGAGAGGGACTCTTTAAAGAGACACTACATACTGAGATACACCTGAACATCAGCAGGAGAGGACTCTTTAAAGTAGAGACACTACATACTGATACACACCTGAACATCAGCAGGAGAGAACTCTTTAAAGTAGACACTACATACTGATATACACCTGAACATCAGCAGGAGAGGACTCTTTAAAGTAGAGACACTACATACTGATATACCCCTGAACATCAGGCAGGAGAGGACTCTTTAAAGTAGAGACACTACATACTGATATACACCTGAACATCAGCAGGAGAGGACTCTTTAAAGTAGAGACACTACATACTGATATACACCTGAACATCAGCAGGAGAGGACTCTTTAAAGTAGAGACACTACATACTGATATACACCTGGAACATCAGCAGGAGAGGACTCTTTAAAGTAGAGACACTACATACTGATATACACCTGAACATCAGCAGGAGAGGACTCTTTAAAGTAGAGACACTACATACTGATATACACCTGAGCATCAGCAGGAGAGGACTCTTTAAAGTAGAGACACTACATACTGATATACACCTGAACATCAGCAGGAGAGGACTCTTTAAAGTAGAGACACTACATACTGATATACACCTGAGCATCAGCAGGAGAGGACTCTTAAAGTAGAGACACTACATACTGATATACACCTGAACATCAGCAGGAGAGGACTCTTTAAAGTAGAGGACACTACATACTGATATACACCTGGACATTCAGCAGGAGAGGACTCTTTAAAGTAGAGACACTACATACTGATATACACCTGAACATCAGCAGGAGAGGACTCTTTAAAGTAGAGACACTACATACTGATATACACCTGAACATCAGCAGGAGAGGACTCTTTAAAGCAGAGAGTTCTCAGAGTATTACATGTGTCTCCCGTCTCCTCCAGATGCTGCAGAATCCCTCTGAGTTCTCCCTCTCAGTGAAGTCTCTCCTGGAGGCTCAGAAACAGTCCTTAGAGTCGGGGTCCGTTGCCAGCGGGGAACACCTCTGCTTCATGGGCAGCGGGCGGGAGGAGGAGGACATGTACATGAACATGGTGCTCGCTCACTTCCTGCAGGTGAGGAGAGGAAGCTCTAAGATCAGTGTTGGGAAAATCCTGAATGTCCTCTTCCAATATCAGAGTAACAAAACAATGATAACAGGATTTTGAGATTTTTTTTTTAACAAGAGTTGAAAAAAGAAACGAAAGGCCATAAAAATCTAAATTAACTCAGATTTGCCTGATCTCTATAACAACTCAAGCGTGTTAATTGTGCTTATAGATAGTAATTGTTGTTGAAATATAACATGCATACAAGTCTACGAGCTGCATCGTTAATGTTGTAACTTCATCTTGTTTTGTTCATCTGGACACATTGTAAAGCCTGCAGAGTATCACTTAACAAACACTCACTGGCCCCTTCATTAGGTACACCTGTTCAGCTGCTCGTTAACGCAAATATCTAATCAGCCAATCACACGGTGCCATCGAGGTGTTCCATATCTGCTAACTGGAGTTTCTCTGTTACAGAAAAACAAAGAGTACGTCAGCATTGCTAAAGGAGGATTCATGGGTAAGTCCTTTCTTAATCTAGATTTAAACTTGATACAGGAATATCCACATGCTCCGATTCTTTAGATATATTAAGATGTGCATATATGGGATTAGGGTCCGTCTTTTTTGTTTGAGTAACTCAAACTTAAAACTAAAGATAATCACAATATCTCAATCTTT